CCTAGTTTTTGTTTTGTTTTATTTTAAACACAGAAACTCTGATGTTAAATTCTGGCGACTCTTAACTGAGAGGTAAGGGCTCCATCTACTGAACTCAATTTCCTAAAACTTCCTTGTGGGATAAAGGTTGTGTGTCTCCTATAAAATATAATAAAGTTTAGACATTTCTCCCGATTTTACCATCTTTATTTATTAGCACTAATAAGTCCTATTAATCTTCCTGTTTCCATGCTATTGAATAATCTTTTTCAAGAATCTCTGAGTTGCTGAAAACAGGAAACAATATGCAAGCATAGGCTCACCTAACTTCTATGGTGATGGATGACAGCAATTTACAGTGGCGCCGGATGTTGTGAGCAAGTTCATTACAAATTTATATCTGTTTTACTTAAGCCTCCTTGCATCTTGCAGAGCAGCAGGGTCTCTTGGGCTACATTTGACTGTAACGGTTGGCACTTTCAAAGCCGAGTTACATCCTATTGCCTTCTACTCGTATTTCAGGAGCGTTTCTGAATCCAGGGTGGGCTGTAAGATTTCTTGACTCATTTGGCAATTACATCATTTCCTGGCCGCGTCTGGTACAAAACGCAGAGAGGCGACGCAATGGCCCAGATAATAACACTGTTTGGAAAATAGGAGGATAATGGAAACAGGGGGTTTGGAGGGCTTATTTGGATTCGGTTGCAGAGGCCCTGGTTTTGCACCAAGCAGCACCCAAGATCTCTTAGCTGACTCCCAAATATATACCGTATATAAAACCACGCGTCCGTAAGGTCCATACATGGCCCTTTGTCACCCACATTTACAGAGCATAGAGCCTGCGCATTGTGCCAAGATGTGTGCGGTGCCGCACCCAGCTCTACAGCGTGCAAGGTTCTCCGCCGGTGGCTTTCTATCGTCAGATTTAGTAAACTGTTTAGTGGGACTTCACGTCTGCTGCAGAGAGACAGACAGATAGAGCTTACATTTAGAAAGAGCAACAAGATGATCAAGAAAACAAGGTTCTGAGCCCTACTTTAACATTTGTGTAGGTGTAGATATTTACATGTTATGTAATTAGAAAGCAATTTCAGCGCGTCTTTTCCAGCATCGGAAGAGATTTGGATTTGGAGGGTCCGTTTTTTTAATTATGATTATTATTTAGGAGCCGCTGCCGGGCTCCGCTGACGCGGAGAATTAGCTCCAGTTTAGGAGACTGAAACCCAGAACAGGACGGAAGTGGGGCGGAGCCTGAAGACAACAATCTTATTTTCTATTGGGCAGGTTTTCATGATAAAGCACCAAGTGTGATTTAGGAAACAAGGCTGACAGGTTCCCTCGTGGTCTAGTGGTTAGGATTCGGCGCTCTCACCGCCGCGGCCCGGGTTCGATTCCCGGTCAGGGAATATACGCTTTTATGCTTTTCTTTTTATGACTGCTGCTATTTTTATTAATCACAAAAGTTCAATTAGTTTCTAAGTGTTATTTAACCTAAGGTTTAAAATATGTCACACCTATGTACAGGCACTATTTACATTAGAATAAATAACATAAAGATCTCTGATTCTACTCTGGAGTCCAGACTCTTGCCCAATGTATCATACTTCCTGCTCCTTTCCCGGATTCTAAAGTACTCTTAATACATTTGTCCAAAAACATGCTAAACCACTTCTAAAACTGCATGTTCCAGCTTTTGAAGACAATCTGGATTAATTTTTTAAAGTTTTTGTTTAATCTTGAGCTATGTTTCACTAATAACAGGAGGAAAATTATTTTAGGAGGGATTATACCTATTTTGCAACATGGGCCGAGAGGAGGGGAGTAAAGGGGGCGGGGAATGGGAGATATCTGTAATACTATCAACAATAAAAATATATTAAACAATAAAAAGCAAATCGGAACAGGATAATCCCATTTTATATGAAGTTTTAAAATGCTAAATTAAAAATATTGTTTCTTGATATGTACATAGATATTAAACTATAAATGAAAATAAGATAGTAGTTATTCCTGGTTAATGGAGAACATCGAGAAAGAATTTGCAAGAAGCATAAAGGTGTCTTTTAAAGTACCGGTAGTACTAATCTGGGTGGTGGATACACGGGTGTTAATTCTCATTTGATTATTCATAATTTATATATAGGTTACCCTATTTTCTCTACCAATTCATTATTTAATTAAAATAAAAACAAAAAGAAATGAATGATAATGTTTAATAAACTCTTTGGGGATAATGGCATGCAAGCAATATTTAGCTGAGCAAAATTCTACTCTTGTCTATTGAATAATTTGTAATGGTGCTTGTCAGGTTAGAAATAATAAATGTGGAAATAAACCACAAGGTGGCATCATAGCCTCATGTGTCTCACTCAAACGCATTTAATCAAAACCACCCATACTGACTTTGGAAATGGGTAGAGTTAAAATCCAGTTTATTGCAGATTTTTTTTCTCTAAGCCTCTTTCTTCTCACTTCATCAATTATGCTTGATTTGACTTGTGTATATACTGTGCTATCAGATTAAATTTGGGGAAAGAAATTCAAATCAATTCAATGCAACTAGTACACAGGTCCAGCATATGACATTTATTCATTCATTCCTCATTCAGTCAGTCATGCATTCAGGTATTCATTCACTTAAGCAATATCCACTAAAATTAGTTGAGACAAAGGCAAAGAGGCCCTGGACATTAATGGTGAGAAAAACCTAATCATTATCATTTGCTTCAGTGTAATGGTGGAGACTCAGATGGTAGTCATATAATAACACATTTAAGTCACCATTGAAAAATTCTTCTGTGAAGGAGGTGTATGTGGTTTGGGTGATTCCACAATAAGATTTTGAACTAGTTGGTGTTGTTGGATCTGTAGAGATCTGAAAAATGAAGGTGAGTTACCTAGGTATAAAGGAGAGAAAAGAGCATTCTAAATAGAAGGAACATGTGCAATACTTTGTAGCAGGAAAGAGCAAGGAGAATACCAGGGACTGAAAGGAAGCCAGGATGGCTGGATGGAAAGTCAGAGATCGCAAAGAAAGGTGAAGAGGAGCCTAAGAAGTGGTCCAGGGACTGATCTTATATGGCCTTGTAGCTTGAGGTGAAGGATTTGTCTTCATATGAAGAGCATCGGGAGCCACTGAAAGGAGGGTGGGTACAGCAGCATCTCAAAGCCCATGCCGGGTCTCTGATGAGTCAATAGCTTCATTAGTATACATGAAAGATTCTGCCCTAAGTGCTCGGCAATGGCACAACTCTGCTCACCTATGTGTGATTAGTTTTGTTTTTTTTTAATGGTGAAGGACATTATTTAAACACAATAATACAATTTCAATCTCAGCCATATTCATTAGATTTATGATTTTCTTTTAAAGAAACGACTCCATTGTATATATTTTGAATCAGACTAAAAATCATTGCTTTTGAAAATAAGAAACATAAAGCATGGTATCTTTAAAAGAGAGAAAAAAATAAAAATAAAAGAGAGAGGGAGAGGGAAGGAGAGAGAGAGAGAATAACATGGGGGCTAAAATAGATACTCTTCCTCTCACCTTCTAAAGGCTTCTATCTGGGCTAATTATCAAATTAGTGGGGGAAAATCTACAAAGTTTATTATGGATGTACATGTTGGGGGTGTCATAAGATATGATGAAACACATTGGGTAGTTGAGGTTTATATGCCATTATGGACAAAGGAGAAAAAAACAGGGGTCTGAGATTTTGAAGGAAACAGGGAATTTACAGGGAGCTGAGGAAGAGTGAAATACAAGTGGTAGGCAAATTATTGCTAGGCAACCCAGAAACAATGGGGTGGTCCTGGAACCTTTCTCTCTAACGCTAAGGTGAATATGTTAAGGTTCTCTTCCCGGAGCAGGTCTTTCCATCTGCTTCAGTCAGAAAGGAAAGGGTGAGGGTCAAAGGTTCCTTTCTGAGTTCTTTGTTTCTTAATAACCAGCTTAAAATCAATATCCCCAAAGTCACAGTTTTGCAATGGCAAGCATTTGGTCCCCTTCCATACACTTACAGAATTTTAACTCCTAAGCTAATACATTTAAAAGAACAATTAAACAAATGACTCTCGCTGCTTCTCTCACTACGTCATATCCTGAAGACAAGCAATGGTGAACTGTTTCTCCTTTTGCCTCAAGCGCCTGATACCCAGAGCGAGGAAGCTGCCATCAGACTTGGTGTTGGCAGAAGCGGCTAAATGGATTTATATTGAGTTACTGCTCCTGTGTTGTTTTGTCTGTGGTTCCTGTGCTTGGGGTTTGATGGCCACATCAAAGGAGTAGCTCTGTTGTAAGAATTGGTCAGCGAGGGTCAGATAAATCATGGTTATTACTGAGACCCAGTCCCATGATAATTATGGACAGGAGACCCTTGGTGTGTAAGTCTGTTCTCTTGGTGCAACACATATGCCTCAAGCTTGTTAAAGACTCAGCGGTGAGGGACTCATGAATATCTTTCTTGGAGGGGAGGTGGCTTACTGAACCTTGAAAGAGGGCACGATGGCCTATCAAGTCTCCTTTACTGTGGCAGTCAAGGATGTTTGTTACCAAGGCAACACTTGCCCCTGAGCGTGGCAGTACCCTCCTCTGGTAGTCACCAGGCCGTAAAAAGGTTGTGATGATGATACCACAGCTGGTCATTTGTAGTATTCTACATGTATACTTCTGCTCTTAGAAATAATAAAATAAATCTAAGTGGCTGCTTGTGAAACAAACAAAAAAGGGGGGCGGGGGAGGGACTGGCTCAGTTCCTGTTTAGGGGGTGGCTTGTGACTGTGACAGATATGACGAGAGTGAAATATGGTCTGTGTGCCTGTTTGCTTTGCCCTCCTGACTGCAAACACATCTCCATCATCTTGCCAGACCCCGAGGGAAGCCTATTTACAGCAGCTGGACTGGGACTGACTGGCTCGGATAGGGCAGAGGCCAGCCACCGCTAGTCCACAGGAAAGTCTACACAAGCTTAGCTACACAAAGCTCCAGTCGTATTGTTTTTGTGGAAAAAAAAGGGGGGGGTCTTTAGGTTTTCTGTAATTAAGGAAAACGGTTTAAAAAGAAGTAGTGAAAGATCTAGGAAGCAGAGTTTTATACTATGATAAATAATCTTCAGTTTGATAGTTTATAATTAGGGAAGGAGGGGTTAATTCCATTACGCAGTTGTTTTAGGAGTTTATGAGCAATTTTAAATTTATCACCCGACTTGTACAAGTGGAACATTATGAAAATAGCCATTCTTTGCAAAATTCTTTTTCGTACACACGAGAAAATGTGACTTTGTTTTTGCTGCAATGAAAACTCAAAACTATTAACAAGGCAAACGTATGTGCAAGAAACTTTAGGTTAACTTGCCAAAGATATTCAACCTCTTTCTCTCCCTTAAAGAAAAGTTTATATATAAGGCATTCTATTACATGCATATACCACTTCACATGCATAAATTTCTTCAGTCCCACAGAGAACAGAGGTTAAGGAAACAGAAAATTCAGTTCTAGGAAGACTAAGAAGTTAAAGGCACATATACATGCCTCTGATTATAAGGTTTTTGGAAAATAATACACATAGTAAGCTGTTAACTGCTATAGAAAGCATGCTTAACTGTAGGCTGAAGTTTAAGTTAGTTGAAAAGCCCTTCCTGATAATGAAAATTATTTTTAAAAAAAATTTTATTGATTTTTTTTACAGAGAGGAAGGGAGAGGGATAGAGAGTTAGAAACATCGAGGAGAGAGAAACATTGGTCAGCTGCCTCCTGCACACCCCACACTGGGGATGTGCCCGCAACCAAGGTACATACCCTTGACCGGAATCAAACCTGGGACCCTTCAGTCTGCAGGCTGACGCTCTATCCACTGAGCCAAACTGGCTAGGGCAATAATGAGAATTATTAAAGTGAGTGGGTTACTGGGCAGGTCTTCATAGGCCAAAGGAATAATGTTATTTTATGATATGATGGACTTGTAATGTGTAAACATTCAGTATAATCCAGCATTCTCTTATCTTTTACACCCAATGAAAGACAGGGGTTTTTTTTGAAACTCAATTTACTCAGAGGTCTAGTCTTAACACTTCACCATTTTGCCTCATATTTACAGTTAAGTTCACAAATGAAGGTAGGTGTGACTGGCTTAAAAGTTGAAAGTTAAAATTAAGGAACTGACAAACTCATTTTCTTTTATGTTATGTGATAGAATGGAGTTATTCTTCTCTTATCCTTACATAAAAGGGTGATATGGTGGACATTTTTATCCTAAAACCATAGACAGATTTACTCTTGTCATTAGTTCAAAGTGATCCCAGGCAAGTTGAAATATTTTTGGTTGGTCTGAATGAATCGGAGTCCAAAAAAGCACTGTCTAAGGTAAACGGTATGGGCTTCAGAATCGGCAGGTTTGGTTTGGGTCATAGCTCAAACTGTTAAGTATAATCGTGGACAGTTAACCTCTTATTCTCCAATAGTTAATATGCAATGTCAAGATAATAATGCCATCTGCCATAGCACAGTTACGGTCTTAAATAAGAGATTTAAAGCACTTAGCATGGTACTTAGCACAGAGAACAACCAGTATTACATTTCCTTTTTTTTTTTGGACCTGTGACTTACAGTGGGTCCTGTCAGTTACAGCAGAGGGCCCGATTCTCTGACCAACCCCACTCCTGTCTATTCCTTTGAAGTTAGAAATGAGGGAGAAAGTGCCACCTAGTCCCTAGGGAACCATTTCTCATATGCCTCTGACGCCTCATACAAGTGTCTGTGGAAGCTAAGGGACTTTTCTTTTCTTTTCTTTTTAGGATCTCCCACTGAGTTCAAAGACTTATCCTTCCAAAGAATATGAGCAATAGTCACCGTTTATGATGTCATATTTGCTGTAATGCTTTGTTGTAGTTGCTGAAATGTTCACAGACTCTGTTATTGCTTAGATCTTAAAACAATTACAAGGGAAGTCAAATTCCATTCTCCAGTAAAATGCAGAACTAGGATTAGTCCCATTGTGCAATAAAAACATGAAAAGCTTGAAAAACACATCTATCTTTAGATTATTAAGTTTACAAAGTCAACCCAGATTCTTTGATTTGACTAGGATCCTATCCTGATATATTTAAAGTAAGCTAAATCAGCAACATTTTAATCTATTCATATCTTAGCCATGGGTTTTTCAATTTGCACTCAAATATAATATTAAGTGATATTATTGCCTCAAATCCAAAATGCTTGTTTTTGTTGTTGTTGTTGTGGTTTTTTTTTTTTCATTTTTCCACTCTGGAAATTGGGATACCTTATGATTAATGTGTAAAGTTATGTTGTGGTGGTTCTTTTCCATAAAAACTGACCCCAAACCAATAGAAGATCTTTAGAGTGATGGAATCATATTTAGGAAAATATGGAGTTCAAAAATCATCTTACTTTGTGTTGATATTACCTAAGGTGGCTTTGCTCTTACTTTGTGGTAACTTAATTATTGGTAAAAGAAATAAGTTTAATATATACAGAAGATAATCCAAAGGCTTCATTAAGATTTGGGTACACATGTATTTGTAGGTCAAACAGCCATCACTCTAGTTAATAGCTGGTCTTTTTAATGTTTCAGCATTGCTTTAAAAGTACCACAGATTTCTTCTAATATGATAGGAAATACCATATTTGTCATAGCAAGATTCCAAAGAGAGAAAAAGCCTCCCCAGCCAGTTTCCAGAAACCCCTTTCCTCACTCTTAGGGCACCTCTTTCTTTTGAGGGTCCCTGTAAAAGCTAGGGTGGCAGCCATACCTGTCACTATCATGTGGGACAACACACCATTCAAAACCTGACATACATACAGCACAGTGCTGGGTACACAGCAGTTATTCAATAAACCTCTCCTGGCGCACTGATGTGAAATACAAAAATGTTCTAGTTAGGCATACATACAGCTTTTAACATTTGGAAAACTCAATTTTCTAAAAATGTTCCCTTTTCCTTTTCTCTCCTCCCCCTCCCCACCCCCCCCTTTTTTCTACCAAAAATCCTGTGAGTTAATTTTGGGACTTTTACACAAATAAAAGCCACCAATAAATCAAATCCTAATGTTCTTTTTTCCCTTGAAATATAAAAAGTGGTGTTTTTTGTTTTGTTTTGTTTTGTTTTCCTGTTTGTTGGGTTTTTTTCCATTTTGGTAGCAAACACGAAAATCACCACACCTAAAGGTAGAACACCAATTTCAAAAAACATTTGATCAACCCAGTCGGTGTGGCTCAGTGGTTGACCAAGAAACCAATAGGTCTCCCATTTGATTCCCGGTCAGGGCACAGACCCTGGATGCGGCTCTATCCCCAGTAAGGGCCATGATGTTCATGCCGGTCAATGATGTTCCTCTCTCGTCGATGTTTTTATCTCTCTGTTCCTCTCTCTCTAAAAAACAATAACAACATACTTAAAAAAAACACATTTGATCAGAGATGGAAAACTCAATGGTAAAGTTAATAGAAATGAGTGAAATGTAATGTTAAAAGCTGATGATGTGAAACACTGATCAAGAACCAATTAATAAATTACTGATAATGATTTTCTTTAGGAACACTGATAACCCTTAGCAACTAGGTGGCAAGTTGGTTTGAAAATATTTCAATCAATTAAACTGAAAAGTAATAACCCTTATGAAACGGGGAAGAAAAAAATGTACGAAAAAAACAAAGAGGAAAAGAAAGAGAAGAAAGGAGGAAGGGGATTTATCTTAAAATATTTAATCTAAATTTTAAAAAAAATTCCTGCTCTCTAAAACACTTTACATTCCAAAATAGGAAAAGAATTCTTTAAATGCTGACATTACAATAGGCACAGGATCAACTATTAGATAATAAAAATCATTTCTATGCCAGCAGCCCACAAATCGTGATTAAAAAGCAAACTTCAAATACTACTAAATCCATTTTCTTATTTGCTACCTAATTCCATCAGAGCTAACAGAAAATTTAATAACCAGAGAGCTTCACAGAGAAGGAACATGGTGATCTGTTTTTGCTCATTTTACCCACTTCCAGACAGAAGAAATTAGATAAACTATACGCTTGATTTTTTTAAAACTAAAAGCCTCCCACTTTTTCCTTTAGCTTTGAGCATAAGTGAAATGCATAAGAGCATTCTTTCTTAATTTTTCATATGTTTGGCCCAATAACTTTTTCCTTTAGCTTTGAGCATAAGTGAAATGCATAATAAGAGCATTCTTCCTTAATTTTTCATATGTTTGGCCCAATAGCTTTGGGAACTCTGAAATGGTCTCTTTCAGGCTTCATTGAAGGGGAGATATCTGCATAATTCCTACAGCATCAAAAGAAATTGGCATTGAGGTAGATATAGAGGATTCATTATCAGGAGGCATATATACGCCATTCATGTATGCATGTGATTTTTAAAAACACTACAAATGTTTTTGAGTTATAAAAAGTATGACACATTCTAGCATATTACCCCACGTCCGGTATACTACTAGTATTATTTAGAGTTCTTGTATTTGCACTTTTCCAAGAACCGTGGTTAAGAATAAAAGGCAAAGGAAACGGATCACTTCCTGCCTCCAAATAATGTCTTACCCACCTATGCTTAATAGATTTACAAGCTCAGATAAAAACTAATTTCCAGCAAGCTGTGAAAGAGCAAAAGAAAAGCCCTGGCTTAATTTGTTAGTGAAGGAAGGCCTTGCTTGAAGTTCATATCAACTTTACATTCTGCAAAGCAACTCATCCACATAAAAATAGTCAAAAAGGACTTCATTTAATTAGTGATATGTAGACTTTTGCATAGAAAAAGGTTACAAAGTAATGCAAAAAGGACTAGGTACAGTAATTTTAAAACAAATATTTAAAAGTATAATGTTGCATAATGTTTAACATTCTTCTTTATTGCTTTCTCCACACAGCAGAGAAATGAAGTGCATAATAATACATGCTGTGTCTTTATCTTTCAAACATAAAATCTCATGTGCTCAATTTCAATGTATTAAGAGATTATTTTGTCATTAAACAAAATAAAAAACAAAACAAAATGAAACCAAAACACCATTATGTAGCACTAGTCTAGGCATGGACAAACTAATTTATGTACATCCCATTGCATACATTCATCTTGATTTGGGGTCAAACGCAATCTTGAGCTTGACAAAGAGCATTTAAAAATCGTGGCTTTTCTGTTCCAAATGCTATCTATCTATCTACCTCCCTGTCTCATCACCTCCAGAAATGCTACTTCTCCCAAAAGGATGACAAGGATAGTACACGTCATCGGGACAAAATGAAGAGGATACATATGTGGAAATAGTCCAAATGAAACGGAATAAATTATGCTAAACTTTTACAAACTGGAGTTTTCAAGTTGGCATGAGTCAGCTAGCCTCTGGTGGGCACACAGTAGGTCAGTGCTCCTGGGTGTACTCTATAAATGTATGGTTTACAGAAGAAGCACCACATTCTGAGCCATGAAAGAAAAAGGTGCCTCGGGGTTTGCAGACAAGGCAGAATGCTTGCTAATCTGAGCACTGATGGAATAATTGCTTATACCAGTGTATTGCTGAATGTCACCACCTTGGCAAGTCTGTACAAAGAAAGCAAACTAAGATAAAACTCGGTCTTTCAACTTGAAAATTATTTTCAGCAATCCTTTTGGCCAATAAAAACCTCTTGGTTTCAACAGAGTACTCTTCCCTGGCATTGTATGTCTGCAGCCTAAAGCAAGACTTTCTGTCCCTCTCCCTTCTTAACCTAACTTCTACACTCGTCACTTGTGCAATGTTCCATGCTCAGAACAAAACTTCACTAGCTCAGGCACTTAGGAAACACGAATATTTTTTTTTTCCCATCTAGTTTCAAGAGAATTCAGTCAGAGCCTTTTCCTTCTCCAATTTGGATATACCGAGGCAAGGCTGGATGGGACAGTCTTTTACTTTCCGGGAAAATTCTACATGGAAGCAAGTGTGAAGTTCTCAAACGTTGCTGACGTCAGTTACCAAGCTGCCTTAACCAACCACAAGAAAGAAAACAGATCGCTAATACCACATTTCCACTTGTGAGGTGTGTGCCTCAAATAGCTTTACTGCTCCTTGGTGGGTCTGTAGACATCTGTATGGCGGCCTTCCGGTGCAGATGCTGAAATGCAGGACTTTCAGTTACCATGGCAACAAGTTCAATGACAACTCAAAAAGCGCCCACTTCTGTCCCCCAGGGTCGGTAAGGTTTACTGTTAGTTCCACTGCTCGTCTGCTGAGGGCTGGATGTGGCTGATACGGACAAGGGCGGGCTGATGGCTGTGGCGGCTGCCACCGCGGCAGCGGCGGCGTTTGGGGGGAGCATGGGGAAGG